CAAGTGATATATATCAACTTTCTTTATGTTGGTAAAATCTAGCTGAACAACTTTAAGTAGCAATTGCTGTTTATAATGTGAAAAATTGCCCATTTACAAACAATCAATCAAAAATATTGTCTAGATTATTTAAAAGATGTTTAATCATGTCATAATCCTTGCATCACTTTATTAGGATTTTACAAAAACGGCGATTAATGTTTAATTAGATTGATGCTATAAAAGGTTAAAACGATTCAATAGACTTTTTATTCTTATATTTCTTGTATTATGATGAAGCTCGCTTAAATGCCCATGGTTAACATTTGACTGCATATACATAATCAATAATTTGTTATGGGTAATCGTTACCAAAATTCTTATGTACTCAATTTGTTATGTTAACTTTTCTAAAGAATAAAGATGCACTCAATAATGCATCCTATTACAAAGTTATCAATACAATCTTATTATACTTATCTCCTTAATGTACTTTATGCTTCAAATAAATGTATAAGATTATAATGGTATTTGTTCTGTCCATCACTAGGACCAAATTTTTCTCTCTTGTATGTTTAGATCAACTTAAAGTTTTATTGTCTTGCTTGTAAAAATATTTGCCCTCCTGTTCATAAAAATAACACAAATGGAGTAGTATTGGTCAATATTGTATTAATGTCTTTTATAGAAAGTACTATCCTGATTTGCTTAGTGTGGGCAATTTGCATTTTATGTTTTTATTCAAAATAAGTATTTCTTATTCAAATAAATCTAATTATCAGATTTTATAAATTCGGCCTTATAAAAAAGTGAACTTCACCTTTCGATTTATATTTCTAAATATTTTGTTTTAACACTTCAATAAAATTTTTATTTTTGAAAATATGAACTTGAATCAGTATTATTAAATAATAAAATAAAAATCTTAGAATATTATTTTGGATATCATTTCTAGCTAATAAATTTTATCTATTTCTCAGTTTTGGGAAATAAAAATATTATTTGAGAACTGCATGAATTTCTAAAAAGCAAAAGACATCCTTATGCAACTTTGTAGAAAATATCTAAATATATGCAAAGACAAGCTAATTTAAAAAGATTTGATTCATTCTCTGAAATAAAATGGATTGAATTGATCTAATCTATATTTAATAGAGTCAAACCTAATTTTGAAAGAAATAAATAAAGGCATTTTATAATAATTAAGACTTTTAAGCTTTCTCATTGTCATATCTTCATATTATATGAAGTTAAAATTTGAAAATCCTAAATCCTGAGTTCGGATGTATTTTCAATAAGTTAAATTATTCAATCAACATATTTATTGCCTTTATGAAGTACCCAAAGTTATCCGTACCTCCAGCATAAGCCTAAAACAACGAATAATGAGGAAGAATTTCAAACTGAATCAAACTTTTAGAAGTCTCCAATCTACAAAGACAAGATCCATAATTTTTGGATAAACTTAGAAGGAGATAATTCCAAATCCTAATAAGACTGTTAAATTTATCTAGGAAAGAAACAAAATAAAAACTTGCGATTTTTGTATCCCACGCAATTTCCAATCAATGGACAATGATAGTCCAAATTTAAAACACATCTTCAACATCTTTTGAATTTTTTATAATATAGTTACATTTTGCAATTGTGAAATCTTTCAGGTTTAAAACATGGCAAAAAAAAAATTAAGCAATAATGTCTTTTCTTTTATTTGTAATCGTCCAATAAAACTCCATAAAAAATGCGAACCTAAATTTTATTTAGACAATACATAGCCAGGATCACTCTTTATGCATTTGACTATTGACCATATAACCATCATAAAATATATATAAGGGAATCCAAAGTATTTGTATGATTTGGGTATATGCTGGTGAGTAAGGATTTATTAATGTTAAGTAAAACTCCCATACGGAGCCACCTATAAAAAGGTCACTCCAAGTAAATAGTAGTTGTTTGAAATTTTCTCCATTGAATCTCTTTTTTACATTTAAGTGTTTAAATATATATTTAATAGAAAATTATTTACAAAAAGTAAGCACAAAAATTTGTAAAACCTAGTTTTATGTGTTTTGAACCATATTAAGAAACCAAAAAGCCAGCCAAAGTAACTCCAGTTCGAATTGATAAGAACTAGCATGAGTAGAATGCCTCTAAACCTCCAACAACCAATATCCATAACTTCAATAACAAATCTAATTTATAATAATAATAATAATGCTCTTCCCCACTTTCCCTACCCCCTCACTCGGTTCCTCGAACACGTGCTCTTCTACAGCTTCAGGTTCCCGGTTCCGCTTCAGAATTCGGTTCGGGGTTGGGGTCCGGTTTGGGGTTGGGGTCGGGTTAGGGTTTGGGTTCGGGGTTGGGGTTGGGTTTGGGGTTGGGGTTGGGTTTGGGGTTGGGGTTGGGGTTGGGGTTGGGTTTAAATTTGGGGTTGGGTTTGGGGTTGGGGTTGGGTTTGGGGTTGAATTTGGGGTTGGGTTTGGGGTTGGGTTTGGGGTTGGGGTTGGGCTTCCAGCC